TGATTATTTAAGGCTAATATTTAATGTTCAGAGAGATGAGGAGATTTTTCCAAGGTCACAAATTTAGTAGGTGGTGGAGCCACAACTCCAGTCCAAGTTCTTCACTAGGTTAAACAATGTGAAATTTTTTGACCAATTTTGACCTGTAAACTAGGTGATTTCATATGTGTTCAACCTTTATTTTAGGGCTCTTTCTATTCTGAACAGCTATCTCACTTTAGGCTTTCTATCCATAAATTGATGGCTTTGAGCTTGCTGATAGAGAAGGGCCTTTCCTGCAACTGGCTCAAACCTTCCACTAAAGAGGAAGAGGCTGTTGAGAGTCAGAGGCAAGCAGTAGCCTCTGACTTGCCGGCCTGCACTCTCCTTTAAATACGAGAATACTTTTTAATAATAGCCAATCCTCTCCTCCCCTTGTTTTGAGTATAGGGCATACATTAGATCAGTGGTTCTCAAAGCATGATCTCAGGACCAGCAACACCTGGGAACTTATTAGAAGTGCACATTATCTAACCCCACCCCAGGGCTACTGAATGAGAAACTCTGGGGATAAAGCCCAGCGATCTGAGTTTTAACAAGCACCCTCCTAGTGAGTGTGATGCAGACTACGGTTTGATAATTACTCTATCAGGGTATAGTTTGTTGGCCTATACCTGTGAGATTAATTGTACACAGATCCATAGTGCACAAAACGTTATATATAGGCAAACGCTTTATTTAAATACACTTTACTTTTATTTATTTATTTATTTATTTATTTATTTATTTATTTATCTTTGGCTGCGTTGGGTCTTCGTTGCTGCGCGCAGGCTTTCTCTAGTTGTGGCGAGCAGGGGCTACTCTTCGTTGCGGTGCATGGGCTTCTCATTGTGGTGGCTTCTCTTGTTGCGGAGCACGGGCTCTAGGTGCACAGGCTTCAGTAGTTGTGGCACGTGGGCTGAATAGTTGTGGCTCTCGGGCTCTAGGCGCGCAGGCTCAGTGGTTGAGACGCATGGGCTTAGTTGCTCCGCGGCATGTGGGATCTTCCCGGACCAGGGAATCGAACCCATATTCCCTGCGTCGGCAGGCGGATTCTCAACCACTGTGCCACCAGGGAAGTCCCTGCACTTTATTTTTTAAAGCTATTACCTTTGTCATCTATAAAAGATTTCGAAATGGGTTAATGCTCATCCAAGTGCAGGAGCCGCAACAACACAGGACAGCCTTCAGGGGGAAATGAAGGTTAATAATTTTGATCAGAAAAAAAGCCCCAAAGAATTTCATTTTAACTGGAAAAATCTAAATAATACAGGAATAATACCACTTGGAGAGAATTCAAGCTTGGCTGGCTAACAGGAAAAACAAGAGAAGACTGGAATGCTATATTTGTGCCAGTGCTGCTACCGTGAAATGCTTTGAAAAATAATTAGAAAGCAACTACTGCTGCAGTTCATCTCTTTCTCCCTTACATAATAAAAACCTTAATCTTGTACTTATGCTTATTCCTGTCAGCCCATAATTTTAACTATTTAAGTATAAATTGCCAAAAAGGAGGATAAAATTGTGGGTTTCCAAAAGCCAGATGTTATAAATAGAAGAGATAAAAACTGAGATAAAATGAAAATGCTCAAAATGGCTTATTTTACATGGGAAATTTATTACATAGCCTATTTTTTCCATTATTTATGAAAGTATGCTTATATTTTACTTTAGCCTATCATTATAAACTCTGCTCCTTTTTTTAATTTTTTTTTATTTTTATTTTTTGCTCCTTTTTTTAATTTGGAAATTTTTTTGGAGGAATATCTGAAAATATACATAGAACATGGAAGAAGTTTCATTTATATTTTTAATCATCATTGACTTACTGTGTCTAATTAAGTAACATTATTTCCCCATCTGTCTATATTCTGTAACTCTTATATACATTCTATGCCATAATGCATTTTACTTCAATCCAGTATATTTATAGAAAATTTTACTTTTCAAAGAAAGGTTTTGTTACATCCCAGTTAGTTTAAGTTCCTATTCAATATGTTTTCTGTGTGTGTGTGTGTGCGCGTGCGCGTGCGCACGCGTATGTCAGTGTGTCAGAGAGAGAGAGAGAGAGAGAGAAATAATGGTCAGTAAATTGTATCCCACTTGGAAAATTGACTTTTCTTATGTTAACTTCTTTATATCAAAACAGGTCGGTGTTAAATTGAAGGGGTCTTAGTTTGATTAAACAACCACATTTTTCCTGCCTATTAATCTCCTACATTTGAGTAAGTCTACCTTAGACATGTGGTACTATTTCAGTATCTTTAAAAATACTTCCTCATTTCTCATTCATTTGATAATATTGCTTCTGTAATTACCTGACATTTGACAAGTTTTTAGAAAAGGTGATTTCTATGGTTATGAGAATATCCTTATAGTTATGCCTTATAGAAAATCACATTGAAGAAAGAATGCATATGTTTGTGTTCTTGTTTTTAGGTGGATTATGTATTTACTGATAAGACTGGAACACTCACTGAAAATAGCATGGAATTCATTGAATGCTGCATAGATGGGCATAAGTATAAAGGTGTAACTCAGGAGGCTGATGGACTCTCTCAAACTGATGGACCCTTACCGTATTTTGACAAGGCAGATAAGGTGGCATTTTCTGCGTTACCATTTTACCTTGAGAAATCAATTTATATAGGCATGTGTTAGCATAGTAGAAATTAAGGATTTGGGCACGTGACATAGACTTTTGAATAACCATCTGTTTGTTCTTTCAACTTCACCTTTCTTATTTTATGGACAACTCCGTAATTTGTAAACAAGTAGAATTTATAAGAGAGCATTATGAAAAATGGCATTTGGGTAAAACTTGCACTTGACTGTGTGATCATAATTTTTGGTACTTTATCTTTAAAAATATGAGCTGCTCCAAGAATGATGTCTATTGAAATCATTCAAGTCCCAGCAGTGTCTAGGCATGAAATGAACCAGAGTCTCCCTGCACCTGAGCTATTGCCAGATTGTGAATTAGAATTGAATGAACTCTTTTAGGCCATGGAGATGTCACTGCTTTGGTATTAGGTGGCACTACAGTAACCTGAATGAGTTAACATAGCCCCTAGGGTGTGTTAGCTGAGAACCAGGCATGTTGGTAGGGACCAGGAGAATATGTAGTTCATTTGAGTATTATGAATTTATAAATTTTTGCTACTCAGTTTGCTGGAGGTTATAACATTCTCTCACATTAATAACTTTTCTCTGTTCATTGACTAGTTACCAAGTGTTCACAGTGAAACTAATATAATCATTTTTCTGTTACTGTTCAATAGAATCGAGAAGAGCTCTTTCTGCGTGCCTTGTGTTTATGTCATACTGTAGAAATTAAAACAAATGATGCTGTTGATGGAGTTACAGAATCAGCTGAATTAACCTATATGTCCTCTTCACCAGATGAAATAGCTTTGGTTAAAGGAGCTAAAAGGTAAGCACGTACGTTATGCTAGATGAATAATTTCGAGAGGTACAGTTCTGCCTATAGTTAACAATATGGTATTTTTACTTCAAAATTTGTTAAGAGAGTAGATCTCATATGTTAAATGTTCTTACCACAAACAACAAAAAAGCAAAGGGGACACAAAGAACCTGAGAAATGTTGGGATATGTCTCTGTCTTGATTGTGGTGATGGTATCACAGATGTATTCATGTGTCCAAACTCATCAAATTGCACACATTAGGTATTTGCAGTTCTCTATCAGTTATACCTCAGTAATGCTGTTTTAAAACCCAGAAATAGGGCTTCCCTGGTGGTGCAGTGGTTGAGAGTCCGCCTGCCGATGCAGGGGACGCGGGTTCGTGACCCAGTCCAGGAAGATCCCACGTGCCGCAGAGCAGCTAGGCCTGTGAGCCATGGCCGTTGAGCCTGCGTGCCCGGAGCCTGTGCTCTGCAACGGGAGAGGCCACAACAGTGAGAGGCCCGCGTACCGCAAAAACAAAAAAAACAACAAAAAAAACCAGAAATAAGTTGTAGAAAATACATTAACATTTTTGAAGAGTAAAAAAAATTAAAGTTCTTGTACTTCTCCTGAGAAAGCGAAATCACAGGAGGACAGGAGTTATTTTGTTCCTTCTCTTACTTGCTTCAATAACCTTAATAAGTATCCTTATTCTTTAATAAGGAGCCAAGCTACTTTATCTGAAAGTTTGAAAAAAATTCCCAAATCTAACCAGTTAAGACCAAAAAGAAAATAGCAATGCATAGATGTAACTTGTATTACTATTTATGCATTCCAGCCAGAAGTCCAAATACTTATATTATAAACAGTGAGAGCGTACCGCAAAAACAAAAAAAACAACAAAAAAAACCAGAAATAAGTTGTAGAAAATACATTAACATTTTTGAAGAGTAAAAAAAATTAAAGTTCTTGTACTTCTCCTGAGAAAGCGAAATCACAGGAGGACAGGAGTTATTTTGTTCCTTCTCTTACTTGCTTCAATAACCTTAATAAGTATCCTTATTCTTTAATAAGGAGCCAAGCTACTTTATCTGAAAGTTTGAAAAAAATTCCCAAATCTAACCAGTTAAGACCAAAAAGAAAATAGCAATGCATAGATGTAACTTGTATTACTATTTATGCATTCCAGCCAGAAGTCCAAATACTTATATTATAGTTCGGAAATTCTATAATAATGGCCACTTTTTGTACAACACATGTTCTTGCTGAAGTGCTCCTAGCAATTTTGATATCATTTGGTAACTGAAAGTCCTGTTTTATCCACGAAGCCCAAGCTAATTAAGTGGATAAAAGTCACCCCATGTGTTAGCTACAGAACTGGAATCACAAATTGCCTCTTTCTTGGTTATGATTTGTGACTGGACATTGACTTGCTCTGTGTTAACATCTCAGTGAGTAAAAGGAAGTACAGTTATAGATTGAGATCTTATGAAAGAGAAGAAAACAAGTATGAATAATGCCAGTGCAAGAGGAAATTAATTATTCTTTAAAGATATACAAAGGTCTTTTTTATTGTGTTTCGCAGGTATGGGTTCACGTTTGTAGGAATGCAGAATGGTCATATGAGAGTAGAGAACCAAAGAAAAGAAATAGAAGAGTAAGTAGCACTGTATATTTGATGATTGTCACTTCTTAACCCCACAGTCCACCTTAGATGGATTTAGGAAGGGAAGCAAAGGGAACTGATTACATCTATAAATCTAGGACTCTGCTCTCCCAGTTCAGAGCTTTATGTAAATGTAGTTGGAGTAGGAGAAGACATTTTTCATAGAATGGCAGAAACTAGCATTTGAGGTGTAAATGATTCCAATTTTGTTCACATGTGGGTCCAGTAGCCTGAATGAGCGTCTGCCTGGACTTTTCTGAATTTTAGATGCCATTTCAGGTCTCCAACACATGCTGCAAGAAAAATCAGTGAACAGGCATGAAACCTTCTGCTGTCCAGAGCCCAACCAATCATTCTGGGATCGCACGCCCTGCCAGACATGGCAGCTTTGGAGTCAGAAGCTTTCTCTTGTTCTAAATGCTTGGGTGTGAGCCTCAGGGCAAGTACTCTGATGCAGCCGTAGCTCCACATTTCTTTTTTTTTTTTTTTTTTTTTCCACTACAGAGACCCCAACAAACAAAACCATCTTGGCTTAATAACGGATTTTAATTAGCCCCTGTGATTAATTTGAATTCTTTATATGAACTTGAAATGTAATTGTCTGACCCCTAGCATCTCGTGAGACCCATCTCAGAAACATGTAACACGTGTAGATGTGCTTAGGGAATATGCCCCTTTGGGAAGGAGTGTTCAAGAGCCAGAGGAACCAGAAGAAGGCTCTTTGGCCTGACTGCCAGGAGCCCCAGGTCATTGTCAAAGTCCATATTCTAGCCGGTTCACAACAGTGCCCCCATCTGGCCAACAACAAATGAGATACTGTGCTACAAGTAGATGTCTTATACATACACATCCCAAAACCAATGACCCTCTCACTCCCATCAAAGAGAAGCTTTGTAGTAAATACTTGTATACAAGTTATTTATTTTCAAGAAATTATTTCCTCACATTTTTTCTAATAAGTCTTAGAAACTTTCTTCTTCTTCATCCTTTCATCTGGTGAATAGCTTAGCCATTTACACACAAATCTGATCATGTCAATCCACTGTTTATACCCTTCAGTGGATTCCTATTGCCCTTAGGATGAAATCCCAAATCTCTGAAATGGCCCACAATGTTCTCAGGTCCCAGCCCCTGCCTACCTCTCTTGCTACTCCCCTATCAACTAGATCTCAAGCCTTAAATGAACTACTGTAAGTCCCCTCATGGGCCACATGCTCTCATGTTGCTGTGCCTTTGCACATGCTCTTCTCTGTACTCAGAGTACCATGATATTCTTTCTTCATCGTGTCACTCCTGCAAAACACAGCTCAGGCACCACCTCTTCCAGGAAGCCTTCCTTCAGATGCCTTCTGTCTGTGCTCCCACATCTCCCCTGTGTGTTCCTTTGTTACAGTATTTGGAAGACTAGGGGGTAGTCATCTCATTACCCTCTGTCTCCCTTATCATTTGGTAAGCGCCTTAAGGGAAGATGTGTGTCTCTTCTCCAGCGTCAATCACTGTGCCTGACACATAGTAGGCACTCCATAGATGATTAAAATACTTGCCAGGGTGAGACTATTTCTAGACCCTCCCCAGATATAGCTTCGCAGGACAGCTCTTTGTTCCTCATTCCTATGCAGTCAGTCTCTCCTTACTATTTTAAGTTATATAATGAGAAGATATAGATAACCCCGAACCAACACTGGTATCCTCTGACAGCATGTTCTAAGCACAGAGAAATTCCAAAGACACAATGGAAAGCACCCGTTGTGCCCACAACTAGCAACCCTTATCCAAAGAGGAGAGCTCTGTTAACTTAAGATGTTTCTGTTGTGTTTTATCTTGGTCTATAGGTATATTTCACTTTTCTCTTTCTTTTTCTCTTAAAGGTATGAACTTCTTCACACCTTAAACTTCGATTCTGTCCGCCGTCGTATGAGTGTAGTTGTGAAAACTCAATCAGGTATGCATTGTTAAAACTTGACTTTTTCCATTTGTAGATTTGTATGTTGATCAACTACTTCAAGAGAGAAAAGCATTTCACGTAGTAGTGTATGATTACCGAAAGTCGTGCAAAGCTTTTGCATAAGCCTTAATATATTTATACAAGCACATGTTCAGTTTGTCAAATTGTCACTAGCAGAACCCCTGATATGGCAATATATGCATTTTCTTGGAAAGTGAACTCTACCCCTCAGTCTTGGATGTCCAAACAGGAACTGAAAGGATGACTTTTTCACAGTTCAGGGTACTAACCAATCACCACCAATGTCTACCTGCAGCAGCCCACTACAACTGGATGGTTTGAGATTACTAGCAGTAGAATCTATGAGTGTAGAGAGTTGCTGGTTATCCCTCTCTGACCTTCCTAATTCCCCACTGCTTTACACTTCCTGGAAGCAGGTAAGCTAGAGATGACTAAGGGCCTGACTGCTGGGAAAGGGCATGTGATTTTACTCTAGCACCCTGGGCTGTTTGTTTAACACAGTAAAGAAGCTTGCCCTTTGCAAGGGAAACAGTACCATCATTTCAGGGTTCCCCCATGTTCTTGGGAGGAGCCATGGTGACTGGGATGCCTTCTGCTCAGATTCAGCAAGACCCATGGGTAGCATTCCTG